GGCGGCCCGGCCATTAGCATGCGGGGGGCGGCGCGGCGGGGTTTCGAGCGCGCGGGAGCACGGCTCTGGCTCTGGGGACTGGGAGCTGGGGACCCCGGGAGCCGCGCGAGGCGGCCGCCAGGGGCGGGGTGCGCGCGGTTTGGAGACGGGGGGCACTGTCGGAGGGAGGGAGCGAGGAGGGAGCGGGGGTGGGGCGCACAGACGATTCCAACCGGAGACTGGAAGAGATTTTGAAAGGTCATCTCGTCCTTCCCCCAGCCTCCGAGCAGGACCGCCCCTCCCACCCTAGACCCGGACATACCAGGGAAGGGGTTGGCGCGGCCGCCGCTTCTGCCCCAACATGCACAGACTCGGGAAGTTCTTCCTGGGGTTTTATCTTAAAGCCTCTCCCTTACAATTTCTGTCTCTCTTTTGGGGGAGGAGGAGGGGCGATTATAGAGATAGTTAATGTCTGCCGTATAAGAAACATTATTAAAGTTACTCTTCGGTCCTTTCTGTTCTTGATGAACAATTCTGGCTCCTTCCTCTCGAATTCTATTTTCCATTCTTTACGATACTTTAACGGCTCTTCAATGCAACAAATATTTACTGAGTGCTTACCTAGGACCAGGCACTGTGCTTAGCGCGGTGGGGGCTGCTCACACGGAGGGGGGGTACTTTCCCTGGAGGAGGAGGAGATTGTAGTCTGGAGGGTGGCCACAAACTTGTATTATATTCAGATTTAATGAATATTTACTGAATACCTGTTCACATGTAATGTCACATACTCCTTACAATAATCCTCTAATATAATTAGTTCGCATTTACATGTAAGAGAAATGAGGCTTCAAGGAGTCACCCCACTGGCCTGCAAGTTCAGGGTTCCTCAATGCAAACCCAACATGTCACATTGCCATTAAATAAAAATTCACATGGGGATTGAGGAGAGAGGAGTAGGCACTCAGCAATTCTCTAGATCCCTTTAAAATGTGATTCCCACCGTTCAGGAAAGAAGAGGATGCAGTGTTCCAATAATACTTGCGCAGCACTGAGTGGGGCAGAAGTATAAGGAAAACCACTTGCTTTCCAGGAGCCTGTGTCCTGGTACTCCCTGGGGTCTTCTGGTTGAGTTTCACCTATCCTCAGGAACAGTAAATAATAATCATAGCCAGTAACGTTTATTGAGCACTTAAGTGCTGAGTGTTGGGCTAAGCTGGTTCATATGCGTTTTCTCTTTTAATGCTCAAGGCAACCCCCAGAGATTAGTGTTAATTTCCCTTTATAGATAAGGAAACAGATTAACTTGCTCAAGGTCATCCAGGTAGATCAGGGACTTGAACATAGGTCTGTTTGTCTCCAGACTTTAGGCTCTGCAGATGGCCTTTCCTTTGTTCTACAGAGTATATATACAGGTCCAGCTGGTTTTGCTTCTTACTGTAGAAATAAATGTCCCCACTTCAGCTTCTGAATAAGCCTTTTAGTATATCAGTGTCAGGCACATCAATATGACCTCATCAGCACCATTAATGGTTATTAAGCATTCACCCTGAATCAACAACCCATTCACAGGCATATTGTTAGCTCCCTTTTATCATTGAACACTCTGAGGTTCAAATAGGTAAAAAAGTTAAAATAATATATCCAAGACCACATAGTTGGGAAAATGGCAGAGCTGAGATTCTAGCCTAGGCCACAGTCACCTTTTCTGTGAGAAATAGTGTTGTAATAGCATCCTTCCCAAGACTGACCATTTGGGGACCATGTTCTGTATATGTCTAAGTGCAAGTTACCACTGAGTCAGAAATGATCCTCATTACTAATAAATGGGGCTCCCCATCCACTTAGCCAGTGTTCACCTCAGTGTTCACCTCAGTGTAAATCATCAAGAAAGAAGAGGGCTGGGGTTTAGCTCAGTGGCACCTCGCCTGCCTTGCAAGCACGGACAAAGGGGCAAATGGTAATGAGAAATCTAGATAGTAATATAGCATCCCATTAGAGCAAAACAAGTAATTTGAGGAGGAAATCAAAGAAAAGAAAAAGATTAGATGGAAACACGGGGAAACTGAGGTCCAGTGTGATAATGTCCATGGGGTGAGGTGAGTGAACCCAAAAGAGGAACCCAGGATGGGAAAAGATGGGGGCAACAGGAAATGGGAACAAAGTAAGGAGGTGTCTTGTGAACTGAGGTTGGTGAATGCCCAGGGCCACTTCCTGTATCTTTAGGCCCTCACAGGGACCTTTGCCCCACCACACCCCAGCCCTGACAGCCTTCCTCTGCCAGGACTAATTTATTCTTGCTCTGAATTACCTATCCCCTAAGGAGTCCCAGAACGAAGCAAGGTCCCTTCTTTTTGGAGTAGCTGCTTCAGACTAGGTAGGTGTAAGGTGCTGGGCCTCAATTCCCTGAGTACTGAAAGTGGGCAGAGGAGGTAAATGGAAGAGATGTTGTGTCTTTTAATGCGTGCCTTCTGAAAGACTTTGTAATGAATTTTTCCGGCCTAGGAAGCACCCAGCCTTCATGGTCAAGAAAGCCCCCATGGAGGATAGAGCTGATCAGCAAGAACAGGAGAGACCCAGTCTTCGTCTGGAAAAGCTACAGGACTGGGCAAGGCACAGGCAAAGTGCACACCTCTTGGTGCTGGCGGTGAGGCTAGGCTGCCCCATTCCAGGTCTCAGCATGTCTACTTGTGCCCAATTCAGTTCCAGCCATGTTCCAGGAGCACCTATCATGTGCTAGAAACTGTGTTAGGCTCCGGGTGGGAGGAGAGTGGAGGAAATACAGAAATAGGCAAGACGAGACCCTTAATCTCCAAGTAGCTTCTGTTATGTGGGGGAAAACATACAGATAAGTAAACTACAACATAAGGCAGAACAAATAAAATGGTATTTAAAATTTAAATATCACTTCCTTCACTGCCTTTGGTTGACTATTTTCCTTCCTACCATGCATTCATTCCAATCCCTGAGTTTTACAAGGGGCAAGGGTTCTACAGAGGAAAGAGTCCTTGACAGTTCCCCCCAGCTACCTTGTCCTGGCCTCCAGGTGAATCAGCTATGGCTGGCAGTAGTTGTGGTGCCCTTTGCTGTCTCAGTCGCCTGCCTGAACTCTGCTTGTCACATGGCCACAGCACTGCCACTTGCACCTGGAGCCTCAGTAAGACCTATCACAAGGGAGGGTGGAAGGAAAGTCCCAGGGGCAACTCCCTAATGGAACCAGAGTTTGCCACTTGCTCTTCTCACCATGCAGGGTCTCCTTACAGGAATTGTCACCCTTGAGCTACGAAGAGCACCTCGCCTGTGGAAGGTGAGAGGGGAAGAGTGCAGTACTGTCCTCCCACCTGCCCCCCAATAGACACAGACACACAGACACACACAACTACCTCAGCCTAGCAAGTAAGTGACTCTGTAACTATTCTTAACTAATCTTACCAGCTGTCTAACCCGGACTGGCCTAAAATACTAAGGAGAGAAAACAACAAGTTAGAGAGCTAATAGCCTTGTTGGGAACTGAAAAAGAACAGGAGCTGAGTTCTGTTTACAGCTAGGCTCTAGGTGGGGCTTGTGGTTGGAATGAGTCCCTCAGGCTGGATAGGGCTGACCTGGCTCACTGGCAGGTTCGGGCCATGATGATATCGAACACCTTCAACCTCATCTTGGGCTTCATTGCGCTGGTGGTGGAGGTGATGAAGACAGCCTTGGGGCCTGCCTCTACTGCCCACTCTCAGGTACGGGCCAATGAAGGAGCCTGGGGCAAGAGGAAATAGGGAAAGGCAGGGCAAGGAGGAACAGGTGCCAGGTCCCTACAGCATCCTCAGTTCTGTCTACCTGCAGCCGGCAGGCTTGCTGGTGCTCGAACTCAGCGCTGAGGCCTTCACCACAGGAGGAGTGCTGATCTCAGCATATGCCCTACTGTTGCTGAACCAGAGAAAGCCAGGATGCTTCAGGAACCAGAGTCTGCACTACCAGGAGCTGCAGGAGGTATTGGGGACAGGCAGGAGAACATGGAGCAGCTACTAGCTATTTTTTCCACTAGCAATCTGTAAGGAAGACAGTGGGGCGGGAGGCAGATTAAGAAGACCTAGATTGAAACTGGTTTTCTGGCTTTGGACATTTCTACTCTAATGGTGGGTAAAAGGGGATTGGGTATCCAAATGATTGGGACCAGAAGAATAGGTACGTATAGGAAGCTGTGTATATTGGTAAGGCTTTGAGAAAAAATGGGGGAGGAGAAAGGTGGGGTTTTTTTTGGGGGGGGGTACCAGGGATCGAATTCGGGTCCTTGAGCTTGCGCAGCAGGCAGCAAAACCACTGAGCTAAATCCCCGGCCCAGGTGGGGGTTTTTTGTGGGTTTTTTTGGTACCGGGGATCCAACTCGGGTCCTTGCGCTTGCGAGGCAAGTGGCAGAACCACTGAGCTAAATCCCCGGCCCTGGAGAAACCTATTTTTCTTTGGAGTTTCTCCTTTCTCATCCCTATAGCTGGCTCTCTCCTCTGTCTGGTTTTCAGGGCCTCTCAGAGGTGGAGGAGGTTCCCAGTTTGGAGAATGGTCCCAATGCAGCCAGCATAGAAAATGGAACAAACGAGTGTGCCAGCGAGGGGAAGCAGACAGATGCTACTGCCCTTCAACCCTAAAGGTCCACTGCCCAGATGCTCTGCTTCTCACCCCACCAAACTCAGAAGCTAACCAGACTCCCTGGCACATGCATAATGTCCTCTTCCCTTCTGCGCTGCATAAACATATACCAAGGCGAGAGACCTCCTTCCCATTCTTATCTTCCTTTCCCACTGCCTCTTCGCACAGCTTCATTTCTGCCTCATCTCGCTGTCTTTCCGTCCATCATTCACAATTTCATTCGCTCCAGGTCCGGATTCCTACACACACCAACCCTGCATCCACATCCCTTCGACCCAGGTCCTGGTTAGACTAGCAGAGACTATAAGTCCCAGGATGCCCAGCTACCCCGTGGCCTGCTGGGAAATAAAGAGCCTTCCCTTCCCTTCCCTCCGAGGCGGGGGAGCTGTGCATCTGCTGAGTGACGCGAGGAGCTGGAAGTCAGGTCCTCACCGAGGATCCTCGGACGCGACCACTGGCCCGCGTGGGGGGAGGAGGCGGGCGGGCAGCCCCGCACAGGGGCGCCAACACCGCAACCTTGAAACGTACGGCTGACTCTGCCCCACACCACTCTGGCCAGCAGCTTCGGAGCCGGCGAGGGCTGGGGGCTGGCGCTTGGCAGAACTGGCGACCCAGGGGCAGGCGCCGCGCCCCCTCGCACGAGTGCCCAGGTCCAAGGTCCTGAGACTTGGAGCGCGCGCGAGAAAGGGGTTGGAGATGATGACTCAGAATCGCGGGGCCTTACTCGTTCCCCTCCCCCGTGGCCTGGGCCCGGTGGGCAGGCGAGTGGGCCTGGCAGGCAGGGGGAGGGACGTGGCGACCCGACCTAAGACTTTCCCGCCTCTTGCGAGCAAGCCGGTGTGACGAGCCCGCGTTGCCGCCGCCCTTAACGAGGCGGGAGCGGCACTGCGCAGGCTCACCCTCTCGGCAGCTCCGGGAACCTTTGATCCCTGGCTGCGGTCCGGTTGCTGAAGCTCAGGTTGCACTCAACCCCCCACCATTTATGACCTTTGCAAATGTAGGAAGATGACGAGTTCGGGTGGGCTTGGGGAAAGCCCAGGAAAACTGGGAGTCCCAATAGCACCAGCCGGGCAGAAATTAGAAATTGACCAGAGCTGGAGTACTAAGAGAACTCACCCCAAATTCACATAGTGCCCAGGATGGGTGTTCGCCTCACACTGATTTTTGTTCTCACTTGAGAAGGCTTCTTTCCCTAGAGAATGCTGCTGCTCCAGGCTCAGCCAAGCCCAGGCACCAATGAGGGTAGAGTGCAGCCTGGCTGCCTTGCCTTGCCACTGCAGTGGCGCCAGTGCACCTCCTTTTTGCTGTGACACCTTGGGAGTGGTAAAAGTCGCCCTATGACAAAGTTAAGTGCGAGTACGAGTGGGTGGGGACAGTTCTGGGATCAGGCTCCGGAATGGAGAAGACAAAATCTGAGCCGCCTCCTTTTCCTCCCCTAATCTAACTGCCAAGATAATGGAGAGCTCATGTGTAAAAGACTCTGAGGAAAGAGTACTGTAATTTTCTTCAGAGTCAGGTGGTGGTAGTAGATGAGGAAGCTGGGGAGAGAAATAAACAATTTGCTTTGTCTTCCGGGTTTTAGTGATGAGATCAGAAGTCTAGATACCGGGTTCTATTTCTTAAACGCAGTGCCCATACAAATGGACCTTGTAGCCCTCAGGTTAGGCTAGGTTATACTGTGGTAACTGCTAAAACCTTAGTGATTTACAACCACTTAACATAGGTTTAGTTCTGGCTCTGCTCATTCTGTTACTCAGATACCAAATCTGATGAATCTCACTATTTTGAGGTCCTATTGTGTCATCATGAGGCTTAAGGTTACCTCCTTCAGAATGTAGAGCAAGCAGGAAGAATTTGTCCCCCGAAGGGACATGTGTTACTTGGTCAAAGCAAGTCATATAGCCACACTCAAGTTCAACGAAGTAGGTAAGGCAGTCTTCATATATGTAGAAGGAGAGGAGAAGCAGAAATACTTCAATTAAAAGAAAAAGGGTTAGTCATTTGATAATTCTTTGACAGCTTAGTTTCTACCAAAAGCTACCTTCTAGAAGGTAGGTTCACTTCTGTTTCTTTGGTTTGGTTCTGTGAGGCCCTAAGTAAAATTATTAATAGAAATTATTCCTCAAAAAGCAACAGGACTGGGTGTCAAGAAATCTAGATTCTGATTCTGTTATTTGGGCAACTCAAATCTCTCTGAACTACCTTTTGCTCACCTGAAGGTTATACTCATATATTTGTCCTCTTATTGGAATGTCAAAGCTAAAATAAAATCACGAGGAAAAGTACTTTAAAACTATGAGGCACTCAGGTGTTGAAAATAAATTGTTTACAAAAGGAATGGTTTGAATAAGTGAAGCAGATTGGGTATAAGGTAATAGGGAATGGTGAGACGTGTAGTAAACTAGAGAAGACGTGTTCTATTTAAGTGAATATTATCATTCAGCTCCACCAATTGTTGCAGTGTGGGACTGTGAACCTGGTGGTGCCATAGCTTTAAATTTCTATAGAAGTAAAAAATTCTGGCTTTTAAAATGTGAAATTTTCTAATTTTAAAATAATTTTAATTTTGGGTTTTGGGTTTTTGAGACAAGTCTCACTGTTTAGCTCAGTGTGGCCTTGAGCTCACTATGTAACTCTGGCTGGCCTCATGCCGATCCGCCTGTTTCTCAAGTGCTGGGATTACAGGCATGCACCACCACGCCTAGCTATAACAAAATTTTTTAAACTCAAGGGCCAGATTCAGCCTATACTCCTTCAGTTGCCAGTCTACACATTACACAAATAGACACCTGGGCACTGTGGCCTGTGCCTGTCATCCCAGCTACTCAGGAAACATTGCTTGATGAGAAGATAGCAAAGTCAAGACCATCCTGGGCAGCATGGCCAGACTCCATCTCCAACAACAACAACAAAAGAACAAAAACGGGTCTGTTGCACGTCTGAAATCCCAGCTTTTAGGGAGGCTGAGATGGGAGGATTGCAAGTTCAGGGTCAGGCTGGGTAATGAAGTACGATCTGGTCTCAAGATAAAAAATTATAAACCGCTAGGGATGTAGCTCAGTGAAAGAGTGCTTCCTTACCATGTACAAGGCTCTTGCTTCTATCTCCAGTACTGCAAATAATAATAAAATAAACAATTTAAAACCCACATGGTAGGATTTCACGTTTTGGATGTACAATACAGTTCATGTAGACTTTGTGAAATCCAAGAGTCTTGGAGGGATTGAACATGGAGTTCTTGGTTTTCAGGGAAGGGTCATTTTGCCCTCCAGAGGATATTTTGCAATGTCAGAGACATTTGGCTAATCACAACTCAAGAGGAGAAGGAAGGGCAAGGGGATATGTAATGGCAGAATTAGATGAGAAGTGAGAAGATTTGGGATTTAGCCTCCTTGCTAATAATGCTCCTTTCCTGCACATAACCCTCTGGCAGCTGCAAGAGGGGACAGAGACTTGTCCTGTGTTGATCGGTGTCTCCCATCCACGCTGATTCCTGCCAGATCCCTGGCTGCTCCCTGACAGCGTTCAGCTTTGCTGCAAGGCACCCCAGCAACCACTGTTTCTTCTCCATTCTTCATCAGCTTGGCAGCCTCTGTGGCGGTCACTCATTTCACTTGAATTAGAGCTGCACAGAAAGAGGGGACTGTGACAAGGCTCCTGCTGACGTCAGTTTTTAAAGGCCACGACCCCTATCTCTTGCTGTTAGGCCCTGGAGATATAACCGTGCTATTTGGCTTCCTTCGTGGGCAGCTGAACTCTGTGGTGGTTGGAAAAAACCCCATACTGATGAATTTCACCTTCAATTCTTTGAGATTCAGTCATTTATTTTGGCTTTGGATACGTGTTTATAAACAACTGACGATGTTTTCCAAATGAATTCTCTTCCGTTTCTCGACCTGCTTTTTTGCAAGATGGCTCAGGTTTTTGTGTCCAAGGGTGTGTCCTCTGCTGCCATCTCGTGGCCTCTTGACGGCGTGGATCGACGTCTCACAAATTGCCTCCTTTCAGTTAATGGCGTTTGGCAGCGGCCTGGTTGGGCAGGGAATTTTCCCCTCCACTCCGTGAGGCTCCCCCAAGCCCCCCCCCCCCCCCGTGGATTTGCAGAGGAACCGGGGCCTCGCAGGGAGGTGGGAAGTGCAGGGTCCCTTCCGGTCATCAGTAGCTCCTTGGGCCTCTGCGTCTGTTATGCAGTCCTGGCCACCAGCCACGGAAATCAGTGAACTCAGCTGCCCAGCAGTAATCAGAGCTGACCTCCCCTGGTTGGCATGATGAATGCTACCTAGGCTGAGATACTTTTAATCTCAGTGAGAAGTGAAGACACCCGCTTCCAGTTTCTGGATTCTGGTTTTTGTTGTTCCTGCAGTTGCAGGTCCCGCTGGTGCTGCCTCAAATTCGATATTTGATTAATGGGCTGAGCAGGACAGTGGCGATGGTGTAGTCCGCGTGTTTCCTGTAAATATGAGGGAATCTGTGAACAGAGACTGGAGGCCCATCTCCAGGGGCAGGGTGTCTGGGAGACTGCCCAGAGTTGGGCTGCTGGCAGCTGAGCAGTGATGTAGTGCAGGAGGGAAGACAGAAAACTATTTTAGTTGACATTTTTTCCATTATAATAATGTTCATATAACATGTATAAAGTTAAAAAGCCTTCAGCTGCTAATGAAAACTCCATACATAGGGTCGAGATTTAGCTGAGTGGCGCCCTGCCTGCCTCACAAGCTCAAGGTCCTGCGTTCGATCCCCAGAACTGGAAACACACACGCACACCTTAGTACTGTCCCCTCTCCCTCAACTCAGCCCACTTAACCCTACCCTGGCCTTCTCAGTTTTGTTGTTGTTGTTTTGATTTTTGGTACGGGGAACTCACGCTTGCCAGGCAGGTGTTGCACCACTGAGCCACCCCCCCCCCCCAAAAAGATGCAGAGCGGAATGAGAAAGAGAACTACTCTTGGTGTTTCTTTTAACCACTTTCCCCTTTGTGATCATTTAGAGAGGACCTGCTTGTACAGTTTCCTCTGGCCTCGGGCCACCGATAGCCCTATTTGGAGGTAAACAGCTAACCTGGTGTGTTGCCTCTTTTTAAAGTTCAGGTGCCAAAAAAAGAAAAGAAAAAAAAAATCAGGTGCCATGTACTTAAATGGGAGTGCTCATCTTCTTCTTTTATGTTTTCTTCCTCACTTGCTTTTTTTTTTTTCCTGCCTAATTTCAGTGATATTTTTGTTGTGTGATTTTCTTTATTCCATTTATCATTGGAATCTTTGATTTATTTTTCTTATAAACTTTTCCTAAGTTCTGTCCAGAATTAGTACATTTTCTTTGTTGGTTCCTGTCCATTTTCCCTTGCCATTGTAAAGCTTTCTTGTTTACACTGTTTTTCCCCCAAACCAAAGCTCCCAAGATATAATTTTTTTTGCCTCTCTATAATTATATGTCCCCAACTCCACCTTGAAAACTAATGCTGTAGAAGGATATAAGAAGAAAAGTCTTAATAATTTATCGTTTAACTTCTCAAGATTCTTATAGGTAAAAAGAAAACCACAGGGCCAGGGATTTAGCTCAGTGGCGCCACACCTGCCTCAAAAGTGCAAGGTCCTGAGTTCAATCGCCGGTACCATAAACAAAAAAGAGAGAGAGAGAGAGAGAGAGAGAGAGAGAGAGAGAACTACAAAGATGTACAAGAACCAAACAGCACATCCAAACTCTGAATTCTTCTCCTAGGGTTTGCTCCCTCCTCTGCCTTGAGTTTCTGTCTCGTGTTATCAGTCAGTCACACAAGCTGACTCGCTGCACTCCTTGCCCTTATTTTCTATAGCCAAACACCCACGACCACATTGTATAGACCAGTGGTAGCAAACCTATGGCACACGTGCCAGAGCCAGCTGTTATCACTGAAAGCTCTAAAAGTTCGCCACACTGGTAGAGTTTTCTCCTTCTCTTGAATCAGTCCTCTTCTCCCTAGCACTGGCACAAACCCCCTAACCAGCTTCTGTCTGGGCTTGACCTCCTCAGATACGTCTTCCACACTGCCACAGAAATGTTGTCACATCACTTCTCTGCTTAAAAGCCCTTTGGTTTTCCCTGCCACCCACAAGGTTAAGTCCAAGCTTTTAAA